CTTCCTGTAGTCTTACCCTCTTATCTGCCTCTCTCATGTGTTTGGTCAAATCAGCATTCAGTATTTACAATATTACAACAATATAAATACTATTATTGTCGAAGTACCTAGTCCATTAGGTTTATTATTCATTTCCTACATAGCTTCTGTTTTCCCAAGAGTTAGTAGTGGCCTTGGTTTTTCATTTGCTTCATTTTTTCTTTGGTACCAGGGATGGAACTCAGGACCTTGCACTTGTGAGGCAGGCTCGGTGCCACTGGGCTACATCCCCAGCCCTCATTTGCTTCATTTCTATGAAATTACCATACTTCGATCTCATACTCTCCAAAAATGGCCTAAATTGCCTGTCAGTATGTTCATACATATCAGATATCTGTCAGTTTTATCTTGACCTGTTGCTTTTCCCCTGGTTTTTTCCTTAGCAGCATCCTTGGCCCCCTCTCCTGTCATGAGCTGGATTTTAGTTTTCTGTATTGCATGTCTTCCTCTTTTCAGGCTGAATTCCATTTTGGTAGTGCACACTCCTCCTGAGGAAGAGAATTATGGAAGGAAACATTTTTGAGAGAGTGGATGTCTGAAAATACCTTCATGATATGACCCTATTTGATAATTTGGTGCAGGGAAGATTTGGGGTGGAATTAATTTTCCCATTAGACTTTATTTTTAAAAAAAATTTATTAGTACATGTATGCAGTACATAATGATTATATTCATCATGGGGAGTTGGTACAGGTATGTAATACATCTTAATTCCTTTTTTCCCTTCCTTCCCTCCCCTACTCCCGTTTCCATTTGAATATTTTCTTGTTCAATATCTACCAATATCTGTCATCTGTTTTGGTCCTTATCTGTGCTTTTGGTTTCTTACACAAGAGAAACAATGTGATATTTTTGTTTGTGTGTTGTTTTTTGAGTCAGGATATCGCTATGTAGTTCAGGCTGGACTTAAACTCACTATGTAGTCCAGACTGGCCTCAAACTCATGGTAATCCTCATGCCTCAGCCTCTCAAGTGCTGGGATTATAGGCATGCACCACCACACCCAGCAACAATGCGATATTTAAACATGTGTATTCGATTTATTTCACTTAAAATTATGGTCTCAAGGTCATCCATTTACCTAAAAATGTCTTATTTATCCTTCTTTATGACAGAGTGGTACTCCACTGTATATAAAAACCTCAATTTCTTTATCCATTTATCTGTTGATGGGCATCTGGGCTGTTTTAAAGATTGATTGATTTTGAGGCAGGGTCTCACTATGTAATTCAGGTTGATGTTAAACTCACTATGTAGCCCAGACTTGCCTCCAACTCATGGCAATCCTCCTGCCTCAGCCTCTGAAGTGCTGGGGTTACATGTTTCCAAAATTTATTTATTACAAATTGTGCTTCTATAAACACGGGTGTGCATATATCGCTGTGGTATGATGCTTTTAAATCTTTCAGGATGATACCAAGAAGGGAAATAGCTAGGTCAAATGGAACCTCTAGCTTTAGTTTTGTTTTTGTTTTTCTGGTACCGGGGATTGAGCTCAGAACCTTAGGCTTGCCAGACAGGCGCAATGCCACTGAGCTACATCCCTAGCCCTAGTTTTAGTTTTTTGAGGAATCTCCACACTGATTTATTTCCACAGTGGTTGCACCAGTTGACACTCCCACCAACAGTGGAGCAGGGATTCCTTTTTCCCCACAGCCCTGCCAGCATTTGTTTTTTTTGATTGTTTGTTTTGGTACCAGGGATTGAACTCAGGTCCTTGTGCTTTCGCAGTAGGCAGCGAAACCACTGAGCTAAATCCCTGGCCAGCCAGCATTTGTTACTGGTTGATTTCTTGATAGCAGCCATTCTTTTTGGAGTGAGATGGAATCTCAGCTTTGTTTTCATTTGCATTTCTCAAATGACCAGTGATGTTGAACATTTTTTCGTATGTTTATTTGCTGGTTATACTTCTTCATCTGAGAAATGTCTGCTCATTTCAAATGCCCATTTTGGGATCAGGTCTTTAAATTTGGGGAGAGTCTGATTTTTTTGTTGTTGTTCTTTGTTTTTTGGTTCTTTATATGTTCTAGATATTAGTCCTTTGTCTGAGGAACAGTTGATAAAAATTAGACTTTAAAGGCATTGCTCCAGTGTTATGGTTAAGATGTCTAAAGTCATTTTGATTCCTGATTCTTTGTGTCTGTCTCATTTTGTCTTTCCAGAAATTTACAGAATCTTCTCTTAGTCTTTATTTTTCTGAAGCTTCACATTGATGTGCCTTGCTATGAAATTATTTTATTTATTTTAAATATTTATTTATTTATTTAAGGGTTTTTTTGAGACAAAGTCTCACTATGTATTGCAGGGTGGCCTCAAACTCACAGAGATCCTCCTGCCTCAGCCTCCCAAGTGCTGAGATTATAGACATGAGCCACCATGCCCAGCTGAAATTATTTTAATATCTTCTCCTTGTTACTCACTGGTCCCTTTCAGTTTGAAAATGTTTGTCCTTGAGTTCTGGAAACTATTAAATTAATTTCCTGGGTGATTTTTCCTGCTTCTGTTTTCTCTGTTCTCTATTCCTGGAAATCTGATATTTGGCTGTTAGTTCTCCTACACTAGTCTTTAATTCTCTTATCTTTTCCCTCTGATTTTTTTTTCCCTTTTATCTTTATGGTCTACTTTCTGGGAGATTAAAAAAAATCTTCTACCTACTGATTTTTTAATATCTGCCTTCATGTTTTTAATCTTCAGGAGTTCTTTTTTTGTTCTTCTATGATACTTTTACCTTTATAGCATCCCCCTCCTGTACCCAGTACTGGGACTGACTGAGCCTAGGGCCTTCGCACTGAGCAACGTTCCCTGCCCTTTTTTATTTATTTTGAGGGGCCAGGGATTTAACTCAGCCATCCCATGCCATGCCTGCCTGGCAAGCACAAAGTCCTGGGTTCAACTCTAGGTACCAAACAAAAAAATCTCTTTTGAGACAGGGTCTTGCTAAGTCACTAAGGAGCCCAGGGAGTGTCATTCCTGCTTCAGCCTCCCAGAGTGCTGGGATTATAGGAATGCACCATCTTGCCATTTTTGACTTATGGATGCAGTACTATCATTTATCTCTCAGGCTTTAATACTAAGGACAATTTATTTCCTTCACGGTGCTTTTTTCCATTTGGTTCTTTTGTTCCCTCTCTTATATGTTGAAGGCTTTGTTTAGCTATCTCATAATCCTTGATTTCCTAACACTCTGAGTGGAAGCAGTGGTCCAGGAGCTAGCTTCCCTTCGAGGAGGGCTTTCTGCAGGGTTATGGCTGAGTTTCACTGGGCAGCCCCGGTGTTGGATTCTTTGGGTACTTCCTCCAGATGGTCGCACTCCTCAGGGAAGAGTCCTCTAGGCTGTTGCTTCAGTACAGGCTCGTGCCCTTCCTGTGTCCGGGAATAACTTCCAGTCTGCTCTCCAGGGCTAGGTCGCTCAGGGACCCCTTACTCATTCTTACTGGTCCCCTGTCCCACCCTCCCACTTCAGTACTGGGATCGAACCCAGGGCCTGCACACTGAGCTACATCCCTAGCCCTTTATTTTTTATTTTGAGACAGAGTCTCCCTAAGTCAATAAATGGTCCAGGCCGGCTGGAACTTGTGATTCTCCTCCCTCAGCCTCCGGACTACAGGTGTGTGCCAGCGTACTCTGCTTACTGGGTCATATAAAGGATACAGATGAACAGCCAGACATAGAGGTGCATTCTCCTTCACACAGGAGCTTCTTCTTCCTTTTTTTTTTCTTTTGAGACAGGGTCTCACTACATAGCTCAGGCTGGCCTTGAACTTATAGCTACCTTCCTGCCTCAGCCTTCTGAGTGGTGGGATTACGGGTGAACACCACCACACCTGGCCCTAGCACAGAGCTTCTGCTGTGGATTTGGGATGCACATGGACAAGGAAGCTTTTCAAGCCCTATTAGGATTTTTACGAAACTTTTGTTAAGAAAAGGACAAAGATTAAATCGCTGGCCTTTGGTGACTGAACTCCATCGGCAGCTCCTCTCTCCTCTGCCTGTAAGTCTGGAAGTCGCATCCCTCCCATCACATGGTTGGTGTCCTCTGGTAACTGGCCCTCATCCTGAAGCTGTTATCACTCAGAAATTTCAAAGGCCTTAGGAGTTTATTGTGTCAGAAACAGGGAGAAGTAACTAGATCTTCCCTTCCTTCTTTTCCTTCTCCTCCTTTTTTTGCAGTACTAGGGCCTGCACACTGAGCTACATCCCCACCCTCTTATTTTTTATGTTCAGACAGGGTCTCACCAAGTCCCGAAATTGCTCAGACTGGACTTGAACTTGTGATTCTCTTGCCTCAGCCTCTCAGAGTGTCAGGATCACAGGTGCATGCACGATGCCTGGCCCTGACGTATTTCTTCTTGTCACGGTGCACAGGGTCTAAGTATGAGGCAATGACTTCCCCCGGGACCCTTTCCCAGCCCCTCTTGCTTCTCCTCCATTTGAGCATTCAGAGGCAGGAGAGTGGAGTGGCCAAGCACACAGTCACCTTCTCTTCCCAGGGTGAATGTGGCAGCGTTTCCAAGCCTCAGTGTCCCTACCTGTAAAAGGAGGAAACAGGACGCTCTTCCAAGGGCAATAAAAAAAAATATGGAGGTCCTGGTGAGTGGTGGCAGACATTAGTACCACAGCCTCAATATCATAGATTCTCAGGTGGGACCAGAGGGGACACTGAGTCTGCTCCTCCTCCTCCACTTTGAGAGGACATAACAGGCCAGAGAAAAGGACTTGTCTAACTCACAGGGGAAACACAGCCCCTTTTTGCACCCAATTTTCTACAATGAGAAGGGGAGACAAAGGCAATTTCTGCTTCAAAGTGATTTCCTGTGTAGGGAGCCAACATTAGCCAGTTTCCAGAAACAGTCAAAGAGCCTTATGAATCCAAAGGTCTGCCCAGAAACAAGTGATGCAGGCCCCGGGCAGCCAATGGGATCGAGCTGGCCTTTCTACCTGTCTGGGAGCTCCCCTTCCTCATCCTGGCCCCTGAAAGGCAGCTTTGCCTGAGTGGGGGATTTCCAGCTTTGTGGCTTTCACTTCTACATCTGCCAATTGGGTGGGATGGCCTCCTGTGGACCAATCAGATTCCTCCCCAGCACCAACTTCAAGAGGTGAGCCAGGACTCAGGGTCCCAGATACACAGGAGGAATTGGCAGCAGCAGCAGCAGCAGTAGCAGTGAGAGCATCAGGGGCTGTGGGGAAGACAGAGGACAGAGCCATGGAAGACCAGCGTGACCTCATCTCCAACCATGAGCAGCTGCCCATGCTGGGCCAGCGCCTTGGAGCCCAGGACCGGTATGTGTGACACAGGGGAGAGCGTCGGCTTGTATAGGTGCCAGAAGGAGCACTGTCCCAGAGTCCAGGGAGACTGCTCAGACACTGCCTTTCTGGGTGGTGACTTCACACAAGCCAGTCTGGGCCACTCTGGGCTTTGGTTCCTCCTCTTGTAAAATGAGGGTTCTTTTAGAGCAAATTGGGAGAGACCCTGGGTTCTCTTCCTAGTTTCATACAGTATCAGGGGCTGTGCAGAATCCACTGAGGCTGGGCCATGAACCTTAGGGTAGAAAACTTGGATTGGCTTTGAAATGTTCCAGATCCCAGTGGAGAAACATTTCAAAAAGAGGGGAATGTAAGGGCCGGGAATTTAGCTCAGTGGTTCCGCTGCCTACCTTGGAAGCGCAAGGACCTGAGTTCAATCCCTGGTACCAAAAAAAAAAAAAAAACTTAAACAAAAAGAGGGGATGGGCAGCCTGGTGGTGCACACCTGTAATCCTAGCACTGAGGCAGGAGGCTCGCCCTGAGTTTGAGGCCAGCCTGAACTGTATAGTGAGACCCTGTCTCCAAATAAAAAACAAAAAACCCCAAAACCAAAAAGGGACAGGGGACGGCAGGACTAGAAGAGGATGGCAGGCAGCACAGCTCTTCTCGGAGGGCTTTCCCCCATTACTGTGTGTGGGTGTAGGTGTCTGCATGGAGGGAGTCAGACCTGCTGGTGTCTGTAGGCCATCACCACAGTGGCTCACAGAGGAGGGAGGCGTCCAGCTAAGTGTCTGGGGCTCAGACACTCGGGTGATGTGGGGCTCTGCCTGTCTGTGCCCTGGTGTCCGGCAGGAAGAGGCCTGCACAGCCATCCAAAGGACCCGGCCTCTCTCTCGGCCCCCAAATGGCCTCACCCACATGTTTCCTCCCACCAAGGCCCCAAATCCAGGTGCTCTCTCCTCCCCCAGTCTCTAAAAAGTCATTTGCTATCAATGAAGATCTGCAGCCAAATGTGACGTCAGCTGTTGCCGGCAGGCAGGGGGTTGGGAGAGTCACTGAGAAAAGTTACGGGGAACCGTGTCCTGGAGGGCGAGGTAACCGATACAGACTGTGAGAGCAGTGGCCTGTGACAACCTGGGGACCCCATGGGAAGGAGGACTGGATTCTGGTCCAAGTTCTGCTATTGTCAGGTGGACCTCAGATAAATCACTGCCTCTCTCAGAGTCTCAGTAATCACAGCACGATAACAGTTTCCATCCACAGTGTATTTGCCTCAAGCCCTCAGTCATTATTATTACTATGGTTATTTGTTCAATATCTAACTTAAGGCTAAACTCAATCTTAATTTTCACAGTCACTCTATACATTTAATGACTTTGTTAGGTTCATTTTTACACAAAAGGAAATTGGGGCTCATCCTGGTGAGTAACTTACCCAAGTTATCACAGGTGGTGAGTGTGGGAGACAGAATTTGAACCAGGACTAGTCTGATGTCAGTTTGAGCTCATTCTTTGGTCTAGCCCCTTGTAAAGGCACGATTGGTGGGGAGAAGCCATGGGACCCCACTGAGCTCAGGCCACCCAGCCTTGCAAGCCCAGGTGGGCTGTATTCAGAGAGGGGCTCCCTTGTCAAAGCCTTGTCTGTTTTTCACTTCAGTTACTGCTTCTAAAAGTGGCCTGGTCCCGTGTGCTTGGGCAACACCAGACCAGACCCTGATTCAGAGCCTCTTGTGAACACTTCTGCCTAGCAACATCCGTGTCATGCTTCCTAATAGTTCTGGTTGGCTCTTGACTTTGACCAACTACTTTTTTTTTTTTTTAATTCCACAGGGAGGCAGAGCAAAAGAGGAAATAAAAGAGGGGTTGGGACAAGAATTGGCACTTCACCAGAACCAGGGGACAAACATTTAAAAGTTATAAGGAAGGAAGTCAGATGCTAAGGTTAACTATTATCTCCCTAGAGAATAGTGGTTACTTATTTACAGAGCACTAAGGATGTGCTAGGTAGGGAGCCAAGAGCTTTATCCTCACTATCTTATTTAATGTAACAACGTTTGAGTTGATGCTTTCACCCAATTTTACTTCCGCGCAGGGATTAAGTGACTTCCCCTTGGTCCCAGAGCCAATCCAGGTTACACGGCTCATCTTCAATAAGAATCTCTCGATCCTCAGGGCTTCCTGGAAGCTGAGGTTCAGAAGGGGGAGGGGCAGGATTCCCTGTGCTCCTTTGGCGGGAGACAGAGCCGGGACTAGAACCGAGCGTGGGCTGCAGAAGCTGTGGCTGCCCATGTGAGAAACAATGAAGATGGAGAGCTTGAACCCGGACAAGACTAAGACGAGTGGACTTTTCATCACTCCTTTCTTGGGAAGGCTAAGAAGTGGAGTTTGTTTTCTCCTTGTGTCTAGCCCCCTTTCCCTATAGAGTTTTAGTTTTCTCCTTCTAAAATAACTCCTTTGGGCGAGATCTTAGCTAGAGGGCCCAGAGGGCTGGCAAGCAAAGAGCCAATGAAAATAAGCGGTGATTGTGACGTCAGAGTTACCAGGCAGAGGGGTCTCCTGGAGTTCCCTGATCGTCCCTTGCTGGCTGCTGGGGTAGCAGGATGCAGACTCGTCTGGACAGTTTCCAAAGGGCTCTGTCTTAGTCTGTTAGTGTCGGTACAACAGAACACCACATGCTGGCTAATTTATAAAGAACAGAGATTTATTCCCCACAGTTCTTGTGATGGCATTCTTGCTGCGTTCTCATATAGGAGAGGAGAGAAGGGCAAGAGAGAGGCAACTCCCTCTGACAAGCCTCTTACAAGGGCCCCTAATCCCGTTGGCCTCCCAGCATCAGCACATTAACAACACCTGAACTTTAGAGGGGACTCAAACTACAGCAGGGTCCTAGCTGTCCCTCCAACCCTAGGGGTGGGTGGAGGGAGGGTAGGCCAGGACCCCTTCGTCCTCCATACTGTAATGTAGGCGTGCACCCCTAACCACGTCCAAAGCCCACAGCTCCCTGAGGTGGTCTGAGCGTCTGTGCCGATGGTCAGTCCAGAGAGCACGAGAAATTCCCCCAGCTTGCACAGGCTCGGGCTCCTACACTGCCGTCACTGTCCCCACAGCTAGAAAGTACCATGAGATGCCTCTGGTATCTCATGGAAATATCCCAGTCAGATCCTGAGTGGTCTTAGTGAGATCTTGTTCCAAAGAAGAAATCAAATCCTAGAATTGTTGAGGTGAGGGCGACTCATGTGACAGGTGGGGACATTGAGGCATTGGTGGGGACTTGCTCAAAGACATAATCTGAGGGAGGGGAAGGGAAAGTAAAAAGAATTAAATGTGTTATGCACATGTACCAGCTCCTCATGATGAATGCAATCACTATGCATTGCACATAGGCACCAGTAAAAAAAGACACAGCTGTCTGAGGCAGAAGATGTGTCCCTGGACGGGCTGAGGCCAGGCCCTGCTCTAGTCTGGCAGTGTTCAGTGCTCCCCAGCCCACTCCTAAAATGTCCATGCCTCACTTCTTTTCAGGCGGGCCAAATTCTCTGTCATCCTGGTCCTGTTTACTTCCCCTTTCTCCTTAAATCTGATTTCATTGTGGGGATGGGGACTTTCTAGGGGGATGAAAATTCCCTCTTCGTTACATGGTAAATGAATACATATTTTTTGTTTCCTTTTTGTTTTTTGAGATGGGGTCTCAATAGTAGTGCTGGGTGGTCTCAAACTGGCGATCCTCCTGCCTCTGCTTCTCAAGTGCTGGGATTACAGGCCTGCACTCCCAACTCTATACACCATATTTTGTCAAAAAACAAAGTAAGGCCAGGTGTAGTGGCACACACCTGAGCTCCTAGGAGGCTGAGAGAGAATTGCTGCGAATTTTGAGGCCAGCCTAAACTACACAGTGAGACCCTGTCTCAAAACACAAGCAAGCAAGCAAATAAACAAACAAAATAAAGCTGGGTGTGGTGGCACACATCTGTAATCCCATCACTCCAGGAGGCTGAGGCAGGGGGATTGCAATTTTGAACCCAGACTGGGCAACTGACTTACTAAGACCCTGTCTGAAAATGAAAATTAAAAGCTGGGGATGTAGCTCAATGTGAAGGCCCTGGGTTCAAACCCCAGTGCCACACACACACACACACACACACACACACACACACTCATATAGAAAAAAAAAAAGAGAGAGAAAAAAACTAAACCAAAACAAAACACCCAAACCACTCCCTCCTGAGGGTAACCCTGATCCTTGGGAGACCCTCCCCCTTGATCTGTCACTGCGCAGGTGGGACACCAAACTCCAGAGAAGACAAGGGCAGCTCCAGGATTTCTACTAGGCAGGAGTTCAGGGGCATCAGTGGTTGGAAGGAGCGGGGCTGCGTCAGGCTGCATTTCTATAGCCAGCTTATGATGTGGGCTTAACCTGTGTGTGTCTGTTAGGGGTGGTCTAAGGGGCTGGTGGGGACCCCAGGCGGACACCGGAGCAGCTCTCTGGGTTCTCCTCTGATCTGCTCCCCACCCCTCCCCACAGCAAATGCAGTCGTGGAGCCCTGTACACAGGCTTTTCCGTCCTGGTGGCTCTGCTCCTGGCTGGCCAGGCCACCACCGCCTACTTCCTGTACCAGCAGCAGGGCCGGCTGGACAAGCTGACGGTCACCTCACAGAACCTGCAGCTGGAGAACCTGCGCATGAAGATGCCCCAGTGTGCGTGCCCCACCTCCATCCTCCCCCCACCCCACTGCCCCTCATCCCAGACACCCACTGCTGCACCACTGCATTCTCCCCGGATGCCCTCCTCCAGGGGGCTGGGACCACTCATGGTGTGCTTCCTGCCCCACAGCTCCCAAGCCAGTGAGCCAGATGCGGGTGGCCACCCCACTGCTGATGCGGGCACTGCCCATGGAAGGCCTGCTCCAGGGGGTAAGGACAGCCCCAAGCTGCATGGGGACAGCTGACCTGGGAAGGGCCAGCTGCTGCGGGGGTCCTGACTTCTGGGAGGAGCAGTGCCCACCTCTGGAAGAGGTGCCCCAAGGTAGCAGGGCAAGAGGAGGGCCCAGCCCGGCAGTTTACAGCACCTCTCACTGTTTATACCATCTTACAGTCCCTTCCTTGATAATCATGTCTCGATCATGTTTCTACTCACAAAACTGCTGTGGGTAGGTAGGAAAGCTGATGCCAGGGCAACCATTGAGGACACTGGGGTAGGAGGGTTCAGGGACACATGAGAGGTGGGACTGACTCTTACCCAGTGCCCAGCTGCTGGCTTCCACTTCAGGCCACTCCCCTGAGGCCACTGAGGGTATCCCTGTTTCCTCCTTCCACAGCCCATGCAGCAGAATGCCACCAAGTATGGGAACATGACCCAGGACCACGTGATGCACATGCTCCTGGTGAGTGCAGGGAGCCAGAGGTGGACCCGGCCCATGGGTGCTGGCTCCCTGGGAACTCATCCCGTGCCCGCCCAAGGAACCCAAGTGGGCCTTCAGTGTTAGGTGCAGTCCAGCCTCCCTGAATCCGTGTTTTTGAGCTGGAGAAACTGAGGCTGAAATCTTGGAAGTGATTCAAGATACTTTTTTTCTTCCCAAATCTGCACTGCAAGTCTGCTCTGTGCCAGGCACTGTGCAAGGCTGCTGGCCCACAATGGGCAGTAACTAAACTCACGGGAATCCCAGGCTGGTGTGGGAGATCGGGCGACAAGGGAAGTGCAGGTGGCTTTGTGAGGGAGGAGGCAGAAGACCCAAGCTACCCAGGGTGGTCAGAGGTCTCCCCGGAGGAAGTGAGACCTGAAAGTGAGTGTCTGTAGGAAGACTGGGGTGTATGGGTAGAGCTGCTCTGGAACATGAACCTGACCCCCAGTTCTGGGGCCTTGTGGCTACAGCTAGATGGCTGTGGTCCCAGGTCTGGGCTTGGTACAGCTCAGGTCTACTCCCCAGAATGGGAGACCAGGGGATCGTGGGCTGCATGTTTCCACCTTGCCTGCCAGGGAGCTCTTTTTAAACCATCCTTCTTGCCCTGCCACTCTGCAGAAGTCTGATCCTCTGAAGGTGTACCCGCAGCTGGAGGGGAGCTTCCTTGATAACCTGAAACATCTCAAGAACACCATGGAGAGCCTGGACTGGAAGGTCAGCAGGTTTCCCTACACTGGAACCTTCTCTTCTGCAATGTCTACCTTGGGGAAGGCTGGAAAGAGATGGTGGAAGGGGAGGGCTGGGGAGAAGCTGAGGGGTTTTGTTACAGAACACGGAAGAATGCCTGGTGTCAGGAAGCGCTCGTGGGCCTTTAAGGGGGGACCAGGCTGCAGTTGCACCTCAGGGCTGGGCCCATCTGGCACCCCATGTTTCTGTCCCCAGTGCAAAGCCAGGGCAGGGGCAGGGTGATGGTCCTGAGCCTGGCCCTGCCTTTGTCCCCACTAGGTCTTTGAAAGCTGGATGCACCACTGGCTTCTGTTTGAAATGAGCAGGAACTCCCCAGGGGAGAAACCCACCGAGGCTCCGCCCAAAGGTACAGGGAGGGGTCTTGGACTGCAGGGCCTCTGGCACCCCCATTCTGAGCAGCCTGGCAACATCCCCTCCTCTCAACCCCACCACTGCAGCTGCTCCTGGGTCCCAGTGTCCCCATTCCATCTTGGGTGCAGACCTGTTCTTCCCTCTATAAATGCCCACAGGGTACAGAGGCTCCACCATGGGGCCGCCTCCTCTGTGGAGGACACTGCAAGAGGGCCTGGGGCAAAACAACCCAGAACATACCAGGCAGGTGCCCTTGGGGGTCAGGCCAGAGGGCCTTGGGCATTTTCCACCTCACTGAGTGCTGTGTTCTCATCATGGTGCTGCCTCTAATTTGCAATGTTGGGAGAGTGGGCAACTCTTTCCCTCAGGGTCTCAGTGTCCTGAAGGGAAAGGTCAGTGGCCCATCTTGCTCAGGGCTTGTTTCTCCATCTGAACCATCCAAGGGACTAAGATGCTGCCTTGACCAAATCCTAGCTGTGTCTGAACCCAGCTCAGCACCCCCAACAAATGAAACCCTGTTTCTACTTGGGTACTTCTTGTCCCAGCAACAGGAAGCTCAGATGCCCCAGGTGCCCACTGGTTTCCTCTGGAAATCAGAACCGTAGGCTGATTCCAAACTTTAACCAGATCTGAGTGTGAGAGGAATCCTGTCCTGGGGTGAATCAGCCAGTCATGCACTTCCTCTTTGGTCAAGGCTGCAGGTCTTTTCCTCTCTGCAGCGGGCAGTGAGTAAAGCCACAAGGCATTAGGCCCACTCACTCATTATCTTCACCATGCCTGTCGCTTCAGTACTGTCCAAGTGCCAGGAAGAGGTCAGCCACATCCCTGCTGTCCACCCGGGCACGTTTCGTCCCCAGTGCGATGAGAATGGCAACTATATGCCTCTCCAGTGCCACGGGAGCACCGGCTACTGCTGGTGCGTCTTCCCCAACGGCACCGAGGTCCCACAAACCAGGAGCCGCGGGCACCATAACTGCAGTGGTAAGCAGGGGCCATCATGCCCGCAGTTGGAAGATCCAGGCAGGACTAGGAAGACTGAGGGGACAACAGGGCCCTCTTGGCTACCTGGGGCCAGGACACTGGGGGTTGGCAGCTCCTGTCAGCCATGCACCTACCCTTTATCCACTCACCTGCCTGGGCACCTGCCTCGTCTGTCCCTTTAGGATCTCTCCTCACATCCACACATCAACCTGCACTATCCTCCTGCACCTGGAGTCCTACAGACCCCAGCTCCTGGCTTACTCGGGTCCCCTGGACCTCTGTACTGGGCACTGCCTCCCCAGGCGCCAGCCCATGCCCACCTCAGGGAGAATGCCCTCAGGCACTGTGCCAGTGGGTGGGGTTCGTGGTAATAGATCTGCTGCCCCTTCGCAGAGCCTCTGGAAGCTGAGGACCTATCTTCCGGGCTGGGTATGACCAAGCAGGAGTTGGGCCCAGGTAAGGAGGGGAATCTGGTCCCTGCAGCTCATCTTGTGTCATTCTCCAACATCCCTGGGATGAGCCTTTCAGATGAGGAACAGGGCTGGGGCAGGGGAGGAGGTGGGCACGAGTCCCCGATGGGCAGCGCTTGTGACTGAGGGGCAGTGGAGGGTGGAGAGTCCTTGACTGCTCTGAGGTCCCAGGATGATGGGAGGGGACAGGGACAACAAATAGGTGGCTCCAACCTCAACCTGCTGCTTCTCTCCACAGTCCTCATGTAAGAACAACAGGCGCCATCTCCAGCATCCAGCCAGCTCTACTTGGCCACAGCTTTCTTGCTCCCCTTGCTTCCCCTCTTCCCTGTTCCCCCAAACCTACCTGTCTCTCACTGTACACCTCACCCCACCAGGCTTTCCATCATCCTTGCACATGAGGTCAAATCAAAACAGCACAAACAACCATGTGAGAGGGCCCTGCTGCCCACCCCAACTTCTGCCAAGACACAAAGCCTGAGGAAGTGGACCAAAGCTAGGCAGACCCCCATTTTTGACATCATAGCAGTCTCCAACATGGGCCTCTGAGATCTAGGCTCACGGACAGGGAAAAGGGACACCCCATCCCTAAACCCCAGTCTAGACACATCTGCTGCCCTTTCCTACATTGCTCCCCAAGGAAAACCCAGCCTTCCCCTCATCCCAAACCCTTCACTTCCTACCAAGCCCCAGCTCTCTGCTTAGCCAAGCTTGTCATCAGCTCATAGGGCCGTGGCTCATGGAAGAATAAAGGGGTTAAGTAGAACATCCTGGCTCCTGGCTCTTCTGTTGGGACACACTTCATTTATCCTAGGGAGGTCAATGAAGACCCTAAATCTAGTTGGGGCACAGGAATGCAGCCCAAGGGGCCCAGACACAGAGGCCTGTGGGGCCGGAGGCTAGTCTTTGGACACAGACACATTGAGTTGCATATTCACACACTCAAATATTCTTTACTTCCAAAAAGAAATAGACTGTCTATAATTTTTTAAGCATAAGCTCATCTTAGTCCAGCTTCCATTTTCCCATGTCCCCAATTCCATTTCTATACTAAGAACAGCGTAAGTGTGATGACAGATGGGAATAGACACAGGGCTTTGGTGTCAAGAATGGACAGGAAGTGGGGGCTGCGGAGAAATGGGCACTATGCTGGACCTGCAACCCACTCCTCAGCTCCAGCCAGTTGTCAAGAAAGGTTGCAACCCCCTCCCCCCACCCCCACTAGGTTTGTTGACTCAAGTTCAAGAGGACCAAGAAATCAAGAATGTTGGTAAAATTGCTCCACTTTTGAAGTTTAAAAACTTTTGTGGGTCAACACAGTCCAATGAGGTCACTTCTCTGCTGCCTCTATCTAGACCAACATACTTAGGAGGGGTGGGAGTGGCCCAAGGCCCTGAGTGCCACAGCCCCATGTTCTCTTTCTGCATGGCCTGTGGCCGTCTCTAGGAGACTATGAGTGTCAGAGGAAATTGCCATGCCTGCTAGTGCTCCACACTGCTCGGCCTGGAAATGAGCCTTCTAGCCATGTCCTGGCTCTTCCATCTCTTGTACTGTGTTCTCCACATACCCCAAGAGAGCTTGTCCTTGTCACGAGATACCTCTTGAAGATGGTTCCTAAGCCCCTCCCATTTCTCACCTCTTGGTATCTGTGCCCCACTCCAGCTTCCAGAAACCTCCCAGGAGCACCCTTTGGTTCCCTTAGGCTTAGCTGCCACCTCCTCAGGAAGCCTGTCCCACCCAGTCAGCCCCCAGCACCTTCTCTGACGCCCTTCCTCACACAGTGCCCAAGCTCAGCACACCAAACAGGAGGCTGGGGCACTGCTTGCTCACTGCTAGGTGCAGACCAACTGTCCTCTTCATGCAGCTCATTGCACAGCACTTGCCCCAGATGCACTGGAGCTTGCACCTTTCCTTTAACTCTTTTATTTTTAAGTTCTTAAAGAGGACAAAGCCTCAGGATAAGCCAGAGGCCGTGTGGCACATGACAGCTGCATCTGTAGAGCACAGCAGAGGGAGGTCTGAGGCCCTGAGGCATGTTGGATGGGAAGGAGGGGCAAGTCACTTAAAAAATATATACTGTACACATCTATACGAGGCACCCTGTCTTGGGGAAGGTGGGGGTGAGGTCCCAGGAGCAGAGCCCACTGCCTCCTCGGACCAGCCTCCCCACAGGCCCACTGGCCTGGCCAGCACCAGGACCCTGCAGGTGGCTGTTATCTTCTGTGGAGGGAGGGGAAGTTCAAATTCAGTCCCAACGCGCGGTAGGCAGAGGGCAAAGGCCTGGGATGGTTGCCACTCCACTAAGAAGTTCCTGGAGGAAGAAAACACAGCCAGAAGTCAGATTTCTGAACCTTTTTCTTCACGAAGGAGAATAAAGCCTGGCCTCTCTGAGGCAGGGGAGGGGCAGGCACTGCCATGACTGTTCTGATGCTGTAGCTCCAGCTCCTGACACTGCCCCACTGGCACCCCCAACCCTGAGGAATGGAACTTCTCTCTCTCCCCTCCTTCCCTCCAGCCCACTTAGCTGCCAGAGCAAAGGACAGCAGTGTCAGGAAGCGTACCTGCACCCGATGCCTGGGCCTCTCACACCGTCTGCTCTGCCGTCTTCTTCTGTTAGGAGAGAAAGGTGACAGGCTCTGGTCCCTGCTGTTTCTCTCCATTGCTGCCTAAGTGCTGAGCACTGGTGGCTCCCCTAGAACGTGTGGCGGCGGTGGCGTATGTGTGTATGTCTACAGGATTCTCAGGGGATGGGGTGGTGTCTGTGTTCCCTTCTGGAAGGAGCCCAAGGGTCCTGCTCAGCTTTCTCCACACAGTGAGACCCTGGCTCTATTCAGGAGATTTGGTGTGGGAGTTTTCCCAGTGGGGATGCCCAGCTGGCCAGGGCGTACTCAGTCCTGGTAATGCTTCCTCGAACCTAGAAGACTGCAGCAGCCTACAGGGTCTCCTCACCCCCAGGAGTCTTTCCTGCACCTACCTCCACCCAACTGCCCAACATCCTTCTACCTCAGACAAGGCAGGTCCACAACTATGGTTTCCAGAGGCTCAGAGAGGCTGTACCCTCCCCCATTCTTCCTTACAAGGTCCCCTCCCTTTTGAAGCTCAAGATTAGAAAGAGGTGGGGGACCAAATCTGGGTGTGGGGAGGGCTAACATTCACCCCAGGGGTCGTTCTGGGTTCCTTTTCTGGCCTGAGACTGCCCTCCCCCCCAGGAACTCACTCTACCTTTTTCTTCTTTTTCTTCTGGAATGGTGAATCAGAGTCTTTGGCTGAAGGCTTTTTTCCTTTCTTCTTTTCCTTTTTTTCCTTGTCTTTTTTTTCTGAGGGAAGAAAGTAAGCTTCCTGAACAACAGATGTCAGTCCTATGCTGGGGTCAGTGTCTGAAGGCCCACTGGTCAGGGCCCCTGGGCTCCTGGTGCCGGTCCTCAGCTCTCTCCACTCTACGGGGAGTCATAAAGACAGGCCTTGGTGGGCCGGCCTCATGATTTCTTCCCATCCATGGACCACATGGACTATGTCTATTTTTCTTTTTATCAAACCCAGGGCCTCAGCATGTTAGAAAATGCTCTACTGCTGAGCTGCATCCCTGGCTCTCAATTAACTCACTTTAAAAAGCTACACACATTTATTTAAAAAGCAAAGTGGGAACTCAGGAAAGGTCTGGGTACCAAGGGACAGGCTCTGGGGCAGTCAGGTCGTTTGGCATCTATGGTTTTATTCACCTAGGCCATAGCGGGCAGCACTTGAAAGGACTGCCTAGGTTTGGAGCCGGCTCCAACCTGTCACCCTGAGCAGCCTCTCCTTCTCCAAGTCTCAGTTTTCCACCTGGAAAATGGGGATGAAATACCCTCTAATGTGTGGGGCTGGCCTGAGGACAGATGGACTAAGCTGACTTAAGCACAGAGCTAATAAAGGGCTGCTAAGGGGAAACGGGAAGAGAAGGACAAGAAAGGATGAGGATTCCAGTGTTCTGGTTTCTGGTCTATTCTGTAGCCCAGGACTTGGCAGAAGAGGGTTCCTCAAAGATCTGTTGACTTACGCCAAAGAGGAAAGGACACCATTTTCTGTCCTTGCCAGGCTAGAATCTGAGCAGCCTGAAGCTGAAAGTGCCTGTGGCTGTTCGACACTGTAAGACAGTCCTTTGGCTTCCCCAGCAGAGGCCACAGGGGTTTTGGAATCCTGTTCTCCCTGTGCTCCTTCCACAAAGAGGAGCAAGACTAGGAGGTGGCCGGGCCAGAGATGTAGCTCAGTGGCGCAGCACCGGCCTGGCAAGCGCAAGCCCGAGTTTGATTCCTGGTACCAAAAAAAAAAGACCAAGACTAGGAGGCTGCCGAGGAGCCCGGCCACCCTAGTGTGGCCCGACAGACAGCCCTCAGCACGGGCAGGGGGAAGCGAGGACACTTACTCTTATTTGATTTCTTCTTCTCTTTCTTGCTCTTTGAGTCATTCTGATTTCCACTCTCTACCTTCAGAAGCTCCCCATCTGGCTTGTCCTTGGACCCTCCGGAGCCAGATCCCTTCTCCTCCTTGAGATCACCACTTGCTTTGTCTCTCTTTGATTTCCCCTTGGAAGTCCTTGGGGCCTTTTCTGAGGAAGCAGCATCCTCCCTGCCTTCCCCGGCTGCCAGCTGCTTCTTCTTCTTGCCCTTGGGGGCCCTGGAGGCCACCTGGTCCCCTGACAGCTTCCGCTTCCGGCCCTTCCTGCTGCTCTCCCTGGCGGTGTCTTCAGCCTTCTTCCTCTCCTGCTCTAACAGCTCAGTCAGGACCTTTACCACCGAGGCCTGCACCTGTGCCTCGTTCAGGGGCCAGGGTTGGCCCTGGAGATGCTGAGTGATGTTACTTTGCAGCGTCTGCAGGGAGGCTGAGGTGCTCAGGGGCCCCTTCTTGGGCTTCCGGGGCTTCTGAGGTGTGGGGCCTGAGGCAGCCTCTTTTCTCCCTGTGGAGAGAGGTCTTGGGGTGATGAATCTGGGAGAGCTGGGTCAGGTCTCTATGGTATTTGGGTTGAGCAGGTGCTGGAAGAGAAGCCACCTCCTCTGACAACAGTGTGGATGGGAAGGACCAGGCTCAGTGGTCACCGCCCCATCTGGTCTCCTAAGCTCCCACCTTCCTCACACCAGGACCTCACTTCTAACCTACAGCTCTTTGTCTCCTCACACCAAAATCTCCATCAGGTTAGGGCTGGGGATGGGCAATGACCCCATGGAATGTTAAGGAAAGGACTGGAAATTTATCAACAAGATAAAGCTCAGAGAAGAGGGAGATGGTATGGCCTGCTCAGGAGTCTGGAGCTGAGAGATCTGAGTTTTGAGTCTGACTTTGCCACCAATCAGCTGTCAGTATGGCTTGGACCAGCTCCTCTCAGGGCCCCAGTTTTCGTTTGTAAAATAAGTTGGACAGTGAGGTCCCCCTATTATCAACTGTGGATTTATAAACAAGTGAAGCCCCTGCAGACACTCAACGCATGAGCTATGAACTCAGTGTACCCTTGCCCTTCCCGGCCAGGGTTCCAGGCAGCTCTCGGGAGTGCTGGGTGTGCTGTGAGCGCACATGGCAGCTGACTAAGCAGGTTTACTGCCTGCCAGAGTGACTTTTGGTGCAGCCTTTGTTTAGAATTTTCCACGCCTCTGCTTGCCTCTGATAATTGTGTGCTGACTACACGTGTAAAAAAAACCTTCCACAGCCCCCTCTAAAATGTCTCCTTGTCGCACCCGCCTCTCACAAAGAGAACACTGGGGAAGAAAGTGCGCAACCACTGCTTCTGACCCAGCATAAGGAAGCTGCAGCTAAAAGCCCTGAGGCTGGGCCCCCTTCATGGTCTCTAACTTCCCAGGTGACTGGGGCAGGTCTCTACCCTGTTCTGGGCAGCATGGGCGTAAAGCTTGGATACTGGGCTCTCAAGGGGGTTTGGTTTGTTCCTGGAAGTGTCTACCCTAAGGAGGATTCCAGGAGAACATTCCATGTCACATGAAGCTGCTCCTTCCAGATGCAGAGAGTCTGACTGCCAATGCCCCCCTGGCCCTCCGTCTGCCCTCCAATTGACTGCATTCTGAGTGTGACATGTGGGGTGGAGTGGAGGCATCACTACTGCCTTACATGGCCAGGAAGCAGAGTACTCAGAGGCTTGTCCAGGTTTAGAGTGAGGCACGGCAGGGGTGACTTCCCAAAACAGGGCTCCTAGCCTGAGGCATCTGAGCTGTGAGTCCCCACACCCCACATCTTGAGCCCATTTGCAGGGAAAAAGTCAACAGAGACAAAAGACATGGCTTCCTCTAGGGCAGAAGTCACCCTACAGCTGCACCAGCTCTCACTGGCACTTAAAGGACCATAGCCCTTGCTTGGAGAGGCGCTGGTGGCAGAGGATCACGCTGGTGGAACTGCTGTGGGAACATAAGAAGGGGCCCATGACTCACCTGGCTTAGGGGACACAGCACCTGCTATGTGTTGGGACTCGGCTGCCTGCTTGCCAGCTGGGTCATCTTTAGTGGGTGGAGGAGAGGAAAGTGAGGGATGCAAGTTCTGCCTGGCAGTGGCTTTTGAAGCCCGGTTATTGGCCATGGTCAGCCCAGGGGTCACAAAACCTGAGAGGAGAGACTGAAGAAGCCCAGTGTGAAAGAGGCTGCGAGCCCATCCCTGGGACTTCCAGCCAGGCTGGGCCTGGGCACCAAGGTGGGCACTAAGGACAAGAGTATCCTTTTCTTGGTACATGCTTCTTGAACTATTTTAATTAATATAAATTTTAGATAGACACATTTAAAAAGGAAATTTCTTATAATGCAAATGGAAAATTACTAGAAGATGCCATGTACACACAGTATCTTTGTAGTACTGGGGGTCTAATCCTGGGGGGAGGGGGGTTCTATTGCTAAGCCACATCCCAGCTACTATCTTTAATTTTTATTTTGATACAGGGTCTTGTTAAGTTGCCCAGGCAGGATCTGAACTTGTGGTCCTCCTGCCTCAAACTCCCTAAGTGCTGGGATTATAGCTTTGTGCCACCGTGCCTGGCTTAAGACATGTTTTTGTTTGGGTACCACCTAGAATTCAGGGGAATCCTCTCCACTGTGGCTCCACATGGAGGGGGTGCCTCAGAGTGGAAAACAGGGGGCTCCATTCTTTTTTGGTTGAGACAGCATCTTGCTAGGCAGTTTAGGCTCTCCTTGAACTTGTTACATAGCCCAGGCTGGCCTCAAAGAGAGATTGTCTGGCCAGGATTACAGGTATGCAGCCACACCTGGCCCAGGGGGCTCTATTCTGCTGGCTGGGCCACACTTGCTGCCTTGTAGGTAGGACCTTGCCCGGGGCTCCAGGAAGAGGAGCTCAGTCCCTTGACCTCAGGGAAGCCCTGGGTCTGAGACTGCACCCCAAACCCGACTTACCTGGGAGGGCACCACCACCTCATCCTCGCTGGACTCTGCTGTGGTCTCCTCCACCAAGGTCTCCCTCTTGGAGGGGGATGGACCTGCTGGAGAAGCAAAGGTATCCTATTGGGTTTCCCCAATGGCCCCTGTCAGCTGGGCAGGGGAGAGCCCCCAGAAGGGCCTGAGAAGCCCTGGTTTCTCTAATGCTCCCCACCTCCCAGCCAAGGCTGTTTATGGCTCCCTGGCACATCAGTACCACCCACAGCATTCTGTGTGGCCTGTGCTCGTCACAGCTTTCTCTGCTAATTCCGGAGGCCTTCCTTACACTTACCTGCTTTCCCCTATGGGGGAAGCACATGGGCCTGGGATTTGGGGGTCAGTAGAGGAAGCCTGACACCAACAAGATGCCAGTGGTACAAGAGCTGAGTTAGGTCTTTTTCTTTTTTCGTACGGGGGATCAAACTCAGCACCTCATGCTTGCTAGGCAGGCCCTATGTCACTGAGCTAAATCCCTGGCCCTGAGTTAGGTCTTTGAAATCATTTGGACAGACTTCCCTCACAGAACTGTATAGGTAGGTAAACTGAGGCCCAGTGAAGGATGATGTGGTCAAGGTCTCAGATCAAGTTGGCCCCTGAGGCCAGGGTCTAGGGCTTTGGAGCCCCCCCTAAGCAGCCCCACCCCAACACTGGGCCTGGCCCTCCTGGCACTCTCACCCAGCCCAGGGGCTGACTTGGTCATCAGAGGTTCCTCAGCATCCTCCTCACTCCCCGAAGAGTTGTCACTGCTGTCGTCACTGTTGTCTGAGCTTCCTGGGGCTGTGGCTTTGAGGTGGCCCGAGGTGGTGACTGTGGTCTGCTGGCCTTCAGATGGCTTGGGTTTTCTGAGCTTATTGGTCACTCTGGCCTGGACAGGGTTGCTCTGGGGACATGTCACAGGCAGTGTTCCTGCATCGCTGCCAGCCTAATTTGGTGAAAGGAGAAAGAGGGGACGGTCAGGTGTGGGCTGGTGCTTACTGAGCATAGCAGCAGAGCCGGGCACTTTATGCATGCCACACACTGGGCCACACCTGGTCCTCCCCACAGCTCTGGGTACTGTCATTCCTTCTTACATGCCAGGCCACCAAGGTCAAGGGAGGCAAAGACAAGGGCTGGTGCAGGACTCAGGGCCATGCTTGTGCTATCCCTGGTGGGGCTGGGAGGTGGCACCCTTTGTGAGCAGGGCCAGGCAGGTCTGGTCCCCTGGACTCCCAACACTCACCTCACTTGAAGGCTGGCCCTCACTAGCTTTCTGGGCAAGGACCTTCAGGGCAGCCTGAGTCAGTGGGAGGGAAGCCAGATTCCTCTTTGTCACCTGTGGACAGTGAGAAGCAGCCCTGAGACCCTTAAATTCTCAGATGCATCCATGCCATGCCTGGTCAGATCCAGTTCGGCTGGCATGACAGAACCCAGCAAGAAGCCATGGGCTGGAGTTGGGAACTGAGGGGCGAAGGGGCGATCGTCACCATGTACGCAGAAAGATGGGTGCCAGGCTTCTGGTTATGAACAAATCACCTTGTTCCCAAGGAGCAGAGAACCAGCTCTGGCCGAAGGCAGAGAAGCAGCTGAAGACCCACCACTCAATCTGTGCCCTTGTGGGGGTCCCCGAGTACACTCCTATTTCCTGGACCCACCAGCAGTTAGGGAGAGAGAACTTATGAAGGAAGTGGTCATGAGCCTTGCTGAGAGCCTCTAGGTCACCTGTGGCCCTGTCATGCCTGGCCCCTGCCAGCTGACCCAGCACCTCTTCCCACTTTTCTTGGTTCTCCTTATGCCACATGCTTCTCCAGAGGGTCCTGGAAGCTAGGGCAGCCCTGCCCTCCTGGGGAGGCCTTCCTGCCTATCCTTCCTAAAGCAGGTCATCCCATTATTTTAGTTATGTATCTCTTTCCTTCATAGAATCTAGCAGTTCTAAGGACTTTATTTCCATTTCGCTTGTTTGTGTTATCGTCTCCTCCCCACCACGATGTCCATGTGGGCATGATGTCCCTGCATTGTTCCTGCTACAGCTTCAGTGCCTGGTGAGGACAGATGCTCATTATGATCTGCTGGCCGAGTGGCTGATAAATGCAGGACTTTGGGTATGGTGACCGTAGCCTGGCCTCCCATACAGCACCCACGCTCACAGAAGTTCTTTTTTGGGCTGCAGCTGGTGATGCCCAACTCCTCAGTGAACTGCAGCTTTGTCCTGCCCCTTCAGAAGGAGGGGTTGCTATGTAGTGGATTCTTTTTTGATGAGATGGAAGCCAGGAAACCTGGGTTCTGGCTTTGCCTATCCTGATCAAGCCATGGCCCTCAGATGGGGCTGTGTGCTCAGTTTTATCATCTAAACTATGACCACGAACCTTACCCGTTGAGTTTTTAAGATTCAGGCAAAAGCCAAATAATAAAGCCCTGAAAACGATGAAGGCTGGGAAGAATGCTAAAGTCATTATTCTAAAACATTAAAAAAGGACAACTTCTGTTCATGGCATTCAAAACTGGAAGATGTTAAAAGCCCCACCATGCTGGAAAAGCTTTGCAAGGGACCCCAGAAGCACAGCTAGCCCTGTTTGAACTCTCCCTGACAATGCTAAGAGCTGGGGGCTGGGAGAGCCACTGCAGTCCCCCCACAGCACATGATGTGGCAAGAGCATGAGAGCCCCTTGCCCACTGGGGTGCACTGCCCTCCCTTGTCCCAGGTACCTGAGGGGCTGCTGCCTCCTGTTTCTGGCCTGGTGATACCCGACTGGACTCCAGGCTGCTGCTGGCTCTGGGGGCCATCCTTGGGGAGGCAGTGGGCACAGTCACCACCTCTTTTCTAACAGCTGAAATGGAGGACAGGGAACACCTCAGGGCATAGAAGCCCCATGGCCCCCCAGCAGTCACCAGCCTTTCCTGGGGATGAACTGAGCCCATAGCATATGGAGGAAGGAGCCTGTTTGTTTACTTCCCTGCCCAGGTCTGCCAGTCAGGGCCTGTCACTGTGTCATTTAACAAGGCTCAGGGCCATCAAATGGCTGCTGTGGCACTGGCCCCAGGCTTTCTCCCCATTCCCTCTCCTTTCAGCTGGTCAGGACACGACTCCTGGGCAATGCTGGAACTCGGGCACCAGAGACCCCTGGCAGTTAACATGGTCTCTCAGGAGCATCAGCTGGGGCATCTGCACAGGCCCTGGCCTCCCATGGGTGCTCGCTGGAGAGCTGCTTCTTACAGCCCAAAACAAGACTCTTCCCTTTCTCTATAGCACAGAACTGGCTAGCAGGAACTACAGTGTAACTATGATGACAAAACCCCCCCAGTGTCACAATGTACCCCCTGAGGACGACTGAGCACCATGTGCCATGCAGTACCGCTCTGCAAACACACAGGTGCACCGTGGGCTTCGGTCAAGTTAGCAAGTGTGACTGTCAGCAGAAACAACTTGGGCAGTGAGGTTACATGTCATATTTTTTCTTTTGTGCTAACCTGTATTTCTTAATTATCTTATCAGGTAATGTTTCCTCATTGAAGTGTATAATAATAGTAGTAATATTAACCACTTTCTGGTGGTATTATTTGTAGAATCAGATTCTTAGAAGTCAAGGTAACCCCAGATCTAGCTTGTCTTCTGCTGACAGGTGTAATCCCTCCTTGCAATGTCTCTGCTATGTGCTACCAGGGAGGGGAAGGTCCCCACCACCCAAGCCTGCTCCAGTCAGTCCCTTGTTACGGAGCTTATCCTGGTCTGCAGCTCCCAGCTAATATCTGTTCTGGGCCCCCTACTACTTGGAGCCAGCACAGAGAAGTCTTGGGAACAAATCCCTCAGAATCAGAAGTCTGAGCCAGCCCATCATCTGGTGACAGTGCAGGCCCAGAGTCCTGGCCCCAAGCCCTCCTGAACAATGGTTTGCTATGGGACAGGCCCAGAATCTTATCCTTAGTGGGCAGTGGTGCTGGCTGCTCTTCCCAGCCGGGTCAGACAGGCACAGCACGGCCATGCTCACCAAGCGTGGAGGACTGTGTGGCGGGGATCACATCCTCGTCCTCGCCCTCAGAGGAGCTCCCGGCAGTGCTGCTGGAGGCCCGGGCCTTCCTTGGGGGACTTGCAGCCTGGGCTTGTGTGGGGGTCGCAGCTGGGCCAGCTGGACTACGATTAGGGTCGACAAAAATCAGAGGGGTTTTAATCACCTTGAAAAACAAAAACAAAACATATTCCCCCAGTGATTAAGGGTTTGGCCAGGAGAAGGGGAAGATGGGGTGGGGGAGGGCTTTACAAAGCTAGGGATCCAAGGGGCTCAGGGCAGCCAGGCAGTTAGAGGCTGTTCTGGCTGCCCAGAGCACTCCTAGCCTGCTGCCACCCCATGTGTCCGCCATGACCCAGCATAGCACCTCACAGTTCACAGGAGTCCACCTGATCCTCACAGTGAACCACTGAGATCAGCAGTAAAAGCTCCCATACACAGGTAGGAAATACAAGTCCACAGAGGGACAGAGAGGGGGACTGCAGGAAGCAGTCTGCAGGAAGCAAAGCCAGAGCCAGAGCCAGAATGTCCAAGTTAGCCTCTTTCCTCTGGCTGACTTCAGAGATGGCCACTGGTTGAGGGGGGCACTCTAAAAAGCATTTCCCATGGTGGCCTGGCCACGACAGACCATTCCCCAGGAAGAGTGTGTGCAATCCAGCTGCCCCACCCCAGAGCTGCTGATGAAGCTCCCAGCTCCACTGACCTAGTCTCCTCAACACATAAACTACATGAGGAAAATGGGGAGGGGGAGGGAAGGCACAGATTTAAGAATTAAGGGACGAATAACCCAATGTAGTCTGTGGCCCTTATGTGGATTCTTATTTGAACAGATCAAATATAAAAAGTACCATCTATGAAAAATTGGGTAAATGGGGACTCTGCTGAGTAGGTCAGTTTCTAAGATGTGATATTATATTGTGGCTGTGATTAAAAGAAAAGAAAAAAGAAGTCCTTGTCATTTAAAGCTGCACATTGAAATCCTGGTTGATGAGACAACAGGTCTCATTGCAGCTTCAAACCAGGGGTACTAGGAAGAGCATGGAGGGCGTGCATGCATGTGGTGAGCCTGCTCAGGGGTGCCTCAGCTGGGAGGGATGTGGTTCTTTACACTACCTTCTCTGGGTCTGCTTTACACTTCCCAGTGAGACAGTCAGAAAATACTAGGGAGCAGCAGCAGGAGCACCTGGAACTGGCCAGTCTGGCCTAGCACTGTGGCTCCCTGAAAGTGCTACTGCACACTAGGACGCTCTGCTTGTTTCCTTCCAAAAGTCCTCAGCCAATGAGGACATGAGTAGCCATGAGCCAGGGAGGTAGGGATGTCTGCTTTCCGTTTCTCAAATGTCAGAGCTGGTTCAAGGTCTATTCCTGCCCTGGCCAATAGGGAGATTTGGGTCAGAAGGAGCTGCCTGACACTGGGGTAGGGGAAGGGAAGGTCTGGGGCAGGATCTCTGCCTGCCACAACACCCTGCCCACCTCCCAGGGTGCCATGGAGAGAGAGGTAAAGTCAAAGTGAAACAAAAAGGTTTCCGCCTGAGGCTGGAAGTCTGCTGGGCTTAGGCCCTTAGGCTGCCAAACAGCCTCCCCCGCCACTGCTCTGATCTGGCACTTCCAGAGCCTCCCTTCCCACGTGATGGAAAAGAGAAGGATGGAAAGTGGGAGAAGGCTTGCAGCGGAGGGAGGGGATCTATATATATGTGAGAAGACAGAGGAACAGATTGTCAGGGACCAAGAGAGGCAACGAACCCACTGAGGCAAACAATAGCGTCTTGGGATGTTAAAAGCAGCTCAGAAGCAAAAGCCTCCTCCTAGCTCCACCTGCCCACGCCACCCATCCCAGCCTTGGGCCATGGGAGGGTGGTGGTGCCGGGCCCGGATGCGGAGGGCGGGCCAGGGCCCAGGGTGCCCACAGCCCTATGCTGCTGTACAAGGTAGGAACTCAATAATCAGGTCTACAGAATTCAAAAAGGTGGGCTACACTGCCACAGCGTGTGGGGGGGACTCATTTGTGCCCAAGTTCCTGGGCTTTCTAAGCCTCAGATTCCCACCTGTTGAAAGGCTAGCAATGATTTCCACTGGGTCGCTAGAGGGAAAACAGCAAAGCACAGCACACACAGAGTACACTTGGGGGCTGGTTGGGGAAGTGCACTGGAAGTGAGGCAGTGGGGCTGTGCCCACCTGAGCCTTGGCCAGACCTCCTGCACCTGCCAGGGACTTAGGACTCAGTGATGTCAGATTCTGGTGGGGTGTGATGGCACACACCTGTAGTCCCAGCTACTCCAGACCCTGAGGCAGGCAGGTCAGGAGTTTGAGGCTACTTGGGGAATTTAGTGAGATCCTGTCTCAAATTTAAAAAAAAATAAACAAGGGCTGGGAATGTAGCTCAGTGGTAGAAGCTTACTGTGCATGTGCAAAGCCCCAGGTTCAATCCTCAGCACCATGAAAAAAACCAAAAACACTGCATGGGGACCGGCTCACAGACTGCAGGACAGTCCACCCCAGGAAACACAGAGATTCTATTCTCTAAGGATGTGGCAGGGGCTTTAAAGCTTCTAAACTCCAGGGAGTCTCACCCCAGGGGATGAGAAAATTGAGACGCAGAGGGGGAAAGCAGCCTTGCTCAGGATGACCAGCCAACTGGTTCCAGATCATTAGTTCTCCCAGAGCCGGCAGGAGCTATGTTCAGAACTCCTCACATAAGCCTAATCTCATTTCTTAACTTAAGTTTCTTACAGGTTTCCCTTTTCTTCCCGACTCATCTGAAACCTTAAGGCTGATTTAATTTATTTTTTTGCTTTGGCACAGTGATAGAAGTGATGCTTAAAAAATTAATGAATTTTCACTGGTAAGTAAAAGCTATATACATTTATGACTTGTAACGTGATATCTGTGACATGAACAAACCAATCAAGCTATATAGACACACTCATTTTCTGTCTAACCTGGTACCCACCCCAGGCGACAGTACAGACCCTGGCCCAAGTTTTATGCTCTGTACAGCAGGGCTGGGTGCAGTGAGGGCCTGGGAATGGAGCCGGCCTCCTTCTTGGCCTCAAAGCCTGGGGCTCCGCTGCCACCTCGGCACCCAGCCCCAGTACCCAGTGACGGGTTACTAAGAAAACAAGAGCAACACCCGCCAACAGAGAAGTGCTAGATAAATACATGACGAAAGCAAAGCTCACAGGTGGGCAGGGGCTCAGGAGCTAAGCCCCCAGGTGGTGGATGCCCAGCTTCCCAGGTTGCTCCCATCTTGCCTGAATCCCCCTTGGGGGATGTACTAACTGCCAGATTTTTTCCTTTCCGCTTTTTAAATAGGAACTCCAGAATCTTTAGGACTATCATCTAATTCAATGTTTCAGTTTAAGCAGGGTGTTCATTTTAACCATGTTAGCTCAACCCCGCAGAGAAAGGCCAAGCAGCCCCTCCCTCTTGGAAACCTAGAGCCCTCGAAAAGGAGGGGCCTCAGTCTCCACAGTGAGCCAGAGGGCAAAGGCCAAGCCTAGGGGAGGGGGTGTCAGGCAGCAGGAGAGGGAGGCCGGCCTGGGTGTAGAGGGCAGGTCCTTCAGCTTCTCTAAGGATCCTTCCTGTATACTTGTGGGGACTGAATTCAATCATGAAATACCAAGCTTCACAGTGCCTGGCACACAGGGAGGGATCAGTAACATTAGCTGTAGCTGTCTGTCACTATTTTGGTAATCTGTGCTTTAAGAGAAAGGCAGTGAGCACCCCAACTCTGGAGGTGTGTGAGGAGCCTCGGCTGGATGTGATGGACGGACTGACGGGAGTGTACACATGATACAGAAGGCATACGGTGTGATGCCACCAGCTCTGCTGAGGCTGGCAGGAGCTTCCAGGCTGTGGGGCTAGGGGAGGACAAAGGGCAGTGCCATTTGCTCCAAAGGCCTGGGTTCACACAGAAGTGTGGACCACACCAGAGGCTCCTCGGGTCTCTGGTCAGAGAGGAGGTGGGCTTGGTCCCCGCTGGGGGCCTGGCCTGGAAGGGGGTGGGTGGAGCAGAGCAGGCAAAGCTGCCACAGGTGCTTGGACCAGGAGGGACCCGGGCAAGGCCTACAGGATTCTGCCAGTCTCATAGGGAAGGGTCCTGGTCCCAGACAGCAAATGAGGAGACAGTTTGCTGGGGCCCAGTGTTTATGCCTTTCCCCAGCCTCTTCATGAGCACCGGAGGAAATCTCTTCAACTCCTTGGGCCTCAATTCTGACCTGTCAAATGGGGCACAACTGCTGCCCTCCTGCTCAGGCAGGGGATTGTGCTGAGGGTACTGTCACTGCCTTGTCTCACATCTGTGACACAGAGCCTCAGAAGGGTCAAAAGGTCTCTGCCCAGAGTCACAGAGCTGGGAGGTGTGGAGCTGGGCTCGACTTTTCAGCGCCTAGCTCTGAAGCCTACAGGTCTAACTGTGCTCTGCAGTGCCTCGTGGGCTTACTGCTCAAATGTGTCCAAGGTGAGGGAGCTGGGAAGTGCTGTGTGAAGGCGGTGAGGTCCTCCCTCTGGGAAGATCTGCCCTCTCCCCCAGCTTAGCTCCTCGCCTGCCTGCTGTGCCCTCAGGGACAAAGCGCAGCCTACCTGGCTGGAGGGCAGCTCCTCTTCACTGCTCTCCGAGGACCCCTCTGGGCTCTTCTCCCGGGGAGCTGGGGTCAGGGTATTGCTTCCGACAGTTTTTGAGTTAATGTTCTTCTGCAGGGAAAGGACCTGAAGGAGCATATGAAGGGTATTAGCTGAGGGGAGACGGCTGGCCGGTTTCTGCACACACACATGGACACGGACAGCTGCTGGGCTGGCATGTCCCACAGCCCCGGAAATAGGCACCTCTGCCCTGCTCAGCACCTTCCAGAGCTGACTCTGAACCTGAAAGGTACACAACTCAGACCCAGCTGGAGTCTGAGGGGTATGGTGCTGATGACCTGGGGTCTGAAAGAGGTGACAGCAGCCTGGGACAAGGCTGCAAGAAGAATCGGTGCATCTGGTTCTAACACTCCAGCTAATCGTGGGTGCCATGGAGACAGGATCTGCAGGCTGCCATTCCTTCCAGCTGCCTGGCCAGAGTGTGGAACAGTCTAGCTCCGGGGACTCTGAAGTTGGAGGCCAGAGGAGACTTGGAGAGCAGTGACAAGCCAGTGTTGACACTAATTCACTCCTTTCATCACTCAGCCCAGCCAGAGAAGTGAGACCTTGGCTTCTGGGGCTTTTAATTTCCCAAAAGAAGCTGGAAGATTCTGATGTGTGTACATGTCACTTTCCAATTTTTTTTGGTACTGGGAATTGAACTCGGGACCTTGTGCTTGCTTGCGAGGCATGTGGCAGCACCACTGAGCTAAATCTCCAGCCCTCCAATATTTTTTGTTGGTTTTTGAGATAGGTTCTCACTGTGCAGCCCAGGCTGGCCTTGAACTTGTGATCTTCCTGCCTCAGCCTCATGAATGATGGGATTATAGATATGTGACACCATGCCTAGCCTCATTTCCAAATTTATTTTTCCCCTGGTACTGGGGATCGAACTCAGGAGCTTGTGAGGTAGGCATGACACCACTGAGCTAAATCCCCAAATTTTTAAATGGGGCAACCACAATGCACACTGTTGGTTGTCTCTCCAGCAGCCTTGCACAGATGTCTTCCTTGCTCACAGAACCCCCAAGTCTGTCTGGCAGCCCCCACACAGGGTTTGGGGAAGGCGGTCCCTTCTCTTAGTCAGAAAAACTATATGCCCCTCAACAATGACCAAGGACAGGCAGGGCAACTCTGGCCTGAGACCTGGACAAGGAGTCCTGAGGAGTCTCCTATCCCACAAGGCTGGTGGGACATGGACACAAGAAATCAGGGTCACCAGGGATTCCAAGGTGCTGAAGGAACCACCTTTGCAGCTGCCTAACCCTGGGACTTTGTGCACTATGGTGGAACAATCAATCCCTTTAGTGTTTTTGCCTTTTTTGGTGTGAGACAGGGTGTTGCTATATAGCTCAAACTGGCCTTGAACTCGTGATTCTCCTGCCTCAGGCTCCTGAATGCTGGGTTTAAAGGTGTGCATCCTCATGCCGGGCTGTGTTTTAGCTCTTTTAAATTAGGTTTTCTCCTGGGGCCTAGGACATCTCTACTGAGACAACAACTCACTAAAACCCAAGAACCAAAAAAGCTGCATAGGCCAGTACCTGGCTGGGTCTATGCCCTCCATAAACGCTCCAAGTAGCAGGCAACTAGCAACCTTCACTGCCGCACCTGCCCTTGTAGAGCCCCCATGTACACTGCTTGGCGAAGCCATCTTCACTTCATGTCTGGTGATCAACTGGTTGTTCCTTCAAGCTGTGCCCTTACTCTTCTGGCTCTCAGAAACCAGATGACTTCCAGCAGGTTCTCTGATGATCCAGTTACCTGTCCTGTCCTTGAGGGCAGAGCCAATGTCTTTCATGTCCAACAGTTTGCACCAAAGGCAAGGGTTATGGGGAGAAGGATTTAACTTAGTTCTTGGTGCTTGTTTCATGCACGAAGAAAACAGAAATCCAAGAGAGGTGGAGTGTGGCCTAGTGGGGTGACTTCCTGCTTCCTTTAAGAAACAGAAGATCTGGCCACAAGAAGGATCTATTTCTACAAGGTCATGATTGGCTGAAACTGACAGAGACTGTCCCTCCAGTTTGTCCTACTTGCTACCTCCTTGTTGTCTTTTCTGACACCAAGGCTCAATGCTACTTGCCTGCCCTGGGTCAATCATTTCCACCACATACCTGGGCCCTAACTGAAGTCTGTCACCCTGAAAGTTTTTTGGAGGTCATAGCCAGCCCTGATCCCCTCTGCATTCTGAGAGAAGAAAATTGTCTCAATCAGATTCTCATTCCTTCTTTCTACCCTCCAGGGCTCAGGCCCTCCCTTGAGAGACAGAGAGAGAGAGAAGCCCTAGAGAAGCCCCAGGCCCAGGTGGGGAATGTGACTTCTTCCACCTCTTCAAGCCTTGTGGTTCCTGGGATTCAGGCAAAAACCTACAAGGCCCTCAACAAGCCTCTTTATGACTTTTGCCTGTGACTCAGCCCCATCCATGAGCCTTCGCAGGACTGGCTTGCTTAGCCTCCCATGGGACTGGTGTGCTTGCCCATGTTATGGAGGCCCTGGAACCTACAGGAGCGCCGAGGGGTGGGGTGTTTATAGCAGGTTTCACCTAAAGATCCGTGAGTCAGAGCCTAAAACTGCTCTTCCTTCCCCATTGGACTTCAACTCAAGTTGTAACTAAGTGCGTGGCAGTGGCTAGCAGGCTTGGCAGGTCTCACTTGGACTGAGGTCCCCACTGCCAGTGTCTCATTATTGTCCGATGCCTCACTGCTGCTGTCTGAGTCCTACTCCCACTTCCCCACCTGGGCCTGGATGGCTGCAGGCCCTGTCTTCCCAGGGGGTGCTGGAGGGGCCCCCTTTCTGGGGGACCCGTTAGCAGTGGCTGAGGCAGCTTTGACCTGAGGAGTCTTCCCCAAGGGCTTCAGCTGGCAGTGACAAAGTCAAGAATCAGGG